GGTGCCTGTAGTCCCAGCTTCTCGGGAGGCTGAGGCAAGAGAACCTCCTAAGCCCAGGAGTTGGGGGTTGCTGTGAGCTGTGATGCCATGACACTCTACCCAAGGCAACAAAGTGAGACTTTGTCTGAAAAAAAAATCATGCAGAGATTATGATGTCTAACTAGTTTTAAGGACTTGAGTAATAGCTGACATGCTTAAATTGGGGGTCAATGAAGTGTGAAAAATAAAGTTCAGGCAAGTTCTTCTTGCAAGAAACTTGTCATATTTGACCATTTTAACTATATTTTCCCCCACATTTGCTTGAAAACACCTCAGTTCCAGGAAATGGAGCATGGTGTTAAGATTTTTTGCTAAAGACAGATGGCTCTCTGAAGGAAGGTAAGAGGACCATCTGGGTTGTTGCAATAAGAAAATATTCTTACTTGACCAAATATATGAGCAACAGGGTTCCAAAGACTCCATAGAAAGGGCCAAACGTAAGGAAATGTCGGATGTAGAAGCTGCTAACCCAGGCGATGTCCTGCAGAGGAAAGCCCTTGAAAGTTAGATGTCAGGAACATGGTTTCATTTCCTCTTCATCTGCCTGCATTCCTTCACGTACTGGCTAAATCTTATGTCGTGTTACTCAAGGAATCTAAGTCTCAAGGGGATCAAGAGTTTTCATTTTTCCCTCTTCTGTCTGGTCTGGTTTCAGAGAAGGAGCGAAGTTACTCACCCCCCAGTCTCTTGTACGGTACATCCTTTGCATAGATCTTATATTCAAATACACAGACGTGAGGAGGGGTAACTCAACTAAAAAGGAACAAAAGAAAAGGTGAAGAAATGAGCAGAATGTGACCCCAGTACAGGTCATCAGGAGACCTATCTATTCATTGTGCCACTCCAACAATGCTGGCCCTGAGAAGGGACGCAGGGCTACATCCCAGACCCCACTGGCCTTTCCAAGTCCAAGAAGCTGAACTAAAACTTTGGGCAGTGTCTCCAGGTTCTAGCTCCATCTTAGAGGCCAGGAAAGCTTTGAAGATGAAAGTAATTTTTGATGGAGGCTTCTCTGAAGAGCTTCTGCTCTGAGTTTTCAAGTTTTCTCAAGGGTGTTAGAGTCCTTCAGTTTTCCAAAAGTCTGGGGATTGGGCCCTGTCATGATTTGTCGGGGTGGCAGATGTAAAGAAGGTGTGCTCATTTTCTGCTCAAAGAGTTCTGCTTCTCCCCCAGCACCCTTGAGGCTGCCCACATCACACAGGAGTCTTATGGACACCCTTTGGCTTTCGACAAGGTCTGTCTCCTGGGTCAAACTCTTTTCAGGATCCTCTGAGCCCTCTTCTCCTTGACCAGGTCTTAACGTTGGCCTAGGAGGACTTCAAACTGTCAGTACAGATGGTTCATCCACCCCACCCGAAGAAACTTGAACACACATTACCCAATGTCCTGTCTCTTGGAGGACCGCAGCCCTCTTTCATTTCTACCTAAGAAAACTTAATGGCCAAAATAATTTACTGTTTATTCCAGCCTAAATCGGACTGTAGGCATCTGACCTCCTTTTTTTTTTTCTTTTTTTAGAGCATTTAGTATAGAAAACTCACAATCATACATCCTCCTTCTCTCCTTTTGCAATATATCTTTTATAACTCAAAAATGTGTTTCTTAAAGACCTTACGGGAACTATCTGTCCTTCTGAGACATAGTCATCAGGAAGGTGAGGGTCTCTGATTCCTGGACTCTGGAGGGCAGGAGCCCAACTTGAATAACTACCAGTCAGCAGACAAGCTGGCCTGGACTAATCACATGGACCAACTCCTACGTCCTTCCCAACTCGCCAACATCTTTCAGTAATTTTCCTTTAGCATGCCCCAGAATTTAAAAAGCCTCTCTCCCACCTTTTGTTTCTGCAGAATTAAGCTCATCTTTTACTGAATTCTTTCTCTTGTATTCAGTATCTTAATAAAATTTGTCTTGCTACCTTTAACAAATGTCTCATTCTCCTTCTCTTTGGCAGTGTAACTGGGACTCACTGGCACCTGAGATGTTAGCCTGGCATTTGCAGGAAGGGCCTCAGTGAAACATCTCCTTGGGGACAGTGGTTTGTGAGGTGGGCATTCTGCAGTGAGTCCACACTCACGCATTGCTCATTAGCTACTGGCATATTGCATCACTGCGGGCAGGGCAGGTAAAGAGACATTTCTCTGAAAAGTTCAGAAAAACACTCTGATGGCTTTTTCTTGTGCAAACACACATCTAGTTAGGATGGAGATCAGCTACCTTTCAAACTGGGGCTCCAGGGTCTTCATTTCTCCAAAAGGTGGGCAGGTGATGGATTCCAGCTGTGGAGGAGCCAGCTGGAATGATCGCCCCACCTTTCAAAAATTCACCCACTTCCCATCTCACACATATCAGTCAAATCACCTGCAACAGTGTTTCTCAGCCTCAGCACCGTGGCATTTTGGGCCAGATAATTACCTGTGATGAGGGGCTGTCCTCTGCACTGTAGAATGTTGCAAGGCATCCCTGGCTTCTACCCACTGGGTATCAGTACCATCGCACACTTCTGTTGTGATGACCAAAATCTGTCTGGACACTGTTAAATGTCCCTGGCATCAAAATTACCCCCAGCTGAAAACCTCTGGTCTATACCAAATGTCTGGTTCCTTCCCTAATCTTGCTTTATTTCCCAGTGTTTCAGGGTGCTTCAGATGGGCAGTTCCAGAGTTCCTAGCAAACTCTCTTTGTAAGCTACCATAAGCTTGATTTTGGTTAACAGCAAAGGTTTTTTGCTTATGATGTTATTTTATTGGTATCAGAATTAACAGCCATCTTCATTTTCCTTCAGGCCCGGCCTGCATGCTCACACTGAGACGTCTGTGTCTCTGCCTTCCATAGCTGCGAGTGCCAGGGGAGAGCCCCTTTCTTCTGCTCAGGATCCTGGCAGATGCCTTTTTTTTATCTGGGTTCTTCCTTTTTTTCTGGTATCACACTGTAAATGCCTCAGAATTATTTTCCCATCTCTTTTCCCTCCCTGTCCAAACACCACTACCCTTTTCCCTTCACATGGGTTCAGTCTTTCCAGGAAGAAAGTCCCTGATGCAGAACCCTTGATGGCAACCTGGTCCCCTCCCTCAAGGGGCCTCTCTCTCCTTCCCTACTCAGCAGCCAGAGTCAGGAGATGATGGTTAAAAGGTCCATTTCCCTCTGCAGATTTCTACCTTATTGAGTCTGAAAGAAGACATGCTGCTTTTCTCAGTATCAGTAAGACGTGGCTGGTTTCTGTGAGAGCATTCTAGTCATGACTTCTGGCTTGACAGGGCTTGTTTCAAGGGAATGGGGTGATAAGGGATATGGCTCTGACGGACTTACCCATGTAGAAGTACAGGTGCTGCCTTTCATAGTCGATATATTTGATTTTCTTCTTGCCATACTGAAATGGAGAAAAAAAAAACATAAAATAAGAGAAAGAATTTATCACCATCACACTCCAGGATGTGTGTGGGTGAGTGTGTGTGTGCCTGTGTGTGAGTGTCTAAAATCTCTATGGAAAGAGCCATGTGACCGGTTTTGTTACCTGTCAAACCGGAGCACTAGCAGGTATGGGGAGCCAGCAGCCTTGGGGCCATGTGGGACCTTCTGGTTTCTTGAGTCCAGCTTTTTGACGACTTCCAAATTTTATGGAACACCTCCTTTTAGTTTTAGAAGAAACTAACCTGAGATTGGAGGAAATAGTATGGCATCTTTTTGCTTCAATCAAATGTGGGCAATTCTTGCAGAAATAGATCATGGGGATTGTGATTTTTTTTTTTAACCTGTAGGAATCATTTTGAGTATTTTGTCTTCTTATGTGAAGTGGAGAGACAAACAGGAAAATTTCTAATGAGTTGTCTAGCTCTTCTTCAACTGTGGTTTTTAGGATTCTGTGTGTATCTCCGACTCCATCTCTATCCATTCATAGAACAGGTACTGAATGGTCACATGATAGAAGATATGGGTGTGGCCCCTTCCTTCTGCCCATCTTTCCTCTTTTGTGTTCTCATTATGGATCTCAGACTATGATTTACTATTTTAAGGCATGATGCTAATGTACTCAGCCATTGTTAATACTCTTTTTCATACTACACCATTGGATTCTTTCTGGAAATTCTTCTATATATTTATTATATATTATACACAATTATTTATTACATACAGTAATACAATTATTACATACACTCACTATTGAGACTTTACTTCCTTTCCTATGCATTCCTTAGTTAATTGGCTTGCACTCAAGGCACAAAGATAGCTGATGCTTTGAGAGGAGATAAGAGCAATGGTTACATCTCCAGTGCCTGGAAGATGATCAATAAATGTTTACTGAGGAAATGAGTGGATGAATGATAGTTCTTACCCGCCCCATGTTTTTCACTATGTTCACTCAGTCACAGCACTTTAAATAGTGTTTGACACTTGCTTCCCCAGCTTTGAAATTCTCCTTCCTATGGATATAGTTCTTCTTCTACTTAGATAGTTTCATTGGTCTGTCCTTCTCTTACTGTTACACATTAAGATATCTTTTCTAAGATAACTATCATGTAAAAATCCTAGAGGAAAGCATAGGAAATTTCTAGATGATGTCAGCCTAGGGAAAGATTTTATGAAGAAGATGACATCAAGAATGGCAACTTCAACAAAAATAAACAGATGAGACCTGATTAAGCTGAAAAGCTTCTACACAGCTAAGGACACAATAATCAAAGCAGACAACCTTCAGAATAGGAAAAGATATTTGCATGTTATGAATCTAACATAGGATTGATAACTAGAATCTACAGAGAATTCAAATTAATGAACAACAAACAACAGCAAAAGAGCAAACAATATCATCTATTATTGGACAAGATGGTAGATGAATATAACCTTCATCTGAAGAAGACAGACAAATGACCAATAACCATGTGAAAAATGGTCATCATCAGAGAAATACAAATCAAAACCACCCTGAGATATCACCTAATCCCAGTGAGAATAGCTCACATCACAGAATCTCAATGCTGTAAATGTTGATGTGGATGTGGTGGGATGGGAACACTTTTACACTGCTGGTGGGACTGCAAATTGATACAACCTCTTTGGAAAGAAGTATGGAGAATCCTCAATGAACTCAAAATAGACTTTCCATTTGATCCTGCAATCCCATTACTAGTTATCTATCCAAAAGAAAAAAAACATTATTTTATCATAAGGACATTTGCACTAGATTGTTTATTGTAGCTCAATTCACAATTGCCAAGATGGGAAACAACCTAAATGCCCATGGGCCTAGGAATGGATTAACAAGCTGTGGTACATGTCTATCATGGAATACTATTCAGCTATAAAAAAGATGTTGACTTTATACCTTGGTGATGTATTTTACTAACAAGAATGGTGCTGAAACACATTTTTCTTAGTAAAATATCACAAGAATGGGAATGCAGGTATCCAATGTACTCAAGACTACTATGAATCTGATAAAAAACCAACTAGATGCCCATATGAGAGAATAACACAAGCATATTCAGACAAGGGGAGGGTGGCCGGAGAGAAAGGGGAAAGGAGGGGAGGAAGGAGGATTGGTGAGCTCTCACCTGATGGGCACACTGTGAGGATGTACAGCACACTCCCAGAATGAAGGGCTCAACTGCCTCAACCACAACTTGTAACCTAATCATTTGTACAAACAATGTAACCTAATCATTTGTACCCTCATATTAATCTGAATTAGAAAATAACTATCATGGTTATGAAGTGATATTGCTATTTGTAGTTACTCCAAAATCTCCAAATATTTCAGTAGTGTGAAATACAGAAAAGGGACTAGGTGGAAAATACTTGGGAGGTGACAAAGCTAAATGGATTGATTTTGCACATCACCTCAAAGGAAGATCTCTAGTGTGTAGGGACATGAACACAGGACATAGAACATCCAGTAAATGCTTGTTAAAGAAGTTGATGTCTGAATAAAGACGTGGAAAGACTGGTAGAAAACGGGGAAGGAAGGAAAATCTCAGAACTTACCAGAAATGTTTTTGATGAGAAACTGCTAAATTGTAGGATCTAAGTAATTTTAGTGTTTGAATGGAGTATAAATACTGCCCTATACAATGGCTTTGAAACTATAGTCCTTAGAATTCTAAGGTTCTATAGATGTGTCTCAAGGGAAGCTGCAGAACCTGGGGAGGGGCCTCCCTCATTTGTGAAGAGGCAGCAGGTGCATTGAACACAGCTCTGGGGAGGCAGGAGGGAGAGGGCCAGGCTGCTTACGCCCTTGCTCTGGGCAGTTGGGTGGGGGAGCAACTAGAGAAACCAGCATGTCCCAGTTCTAGTGAAAAGCCTGGAAGTCCACAAACATCAGAGAGGTCCAACTAGTTGGACCATTGTCAAGAGCAAACCACTGTCACAAGCAAATGGTTTGTGATCACAGCCAACAATTTGTTTTAAAAAAACTGAAGCAAGAGATTTTATTTCCTATTTTGTCTAGAAAAGAGAGTGAATCTCCCAGATTAGGAAAACCTATTTTGAAAAGTCTGTAGGATTTATGTACTAGATGGGTCCACACACCAACTGACAAAGCTACATGCCTCGATTTTGTAAATCTCCTAAGTTTTCCAGGAGAGATAGAAACCGCTTCCTAAGTACCTGATTTCAGGAGCCAGCATTTCCCTCCACGGAGAGGTACATTGCTTTGTTTATCCTTGTACTTACTTTTTTAAAAGAAAGACTCCCTCCTAAAATACTTGGTAATTTAGTCCTTCATGTGATGGTTTTAAGTGGATATTAAAAAATCAATAGCTGAGAAATTCTGAAGATGACTTTTCCCCTCCATTTTCTATTGTTTACTAAGTTCAAATCAGAGCTGGTATTTTTAATTCTGTTACAAGAGATTTAGGATGGGGTTCATGTACAAATGCACTAAAATGAACTTGTACTAAATATAACTGCACAATCTCTTTTAACTGGGCTAGAATTAGTTGAGATAACTTGATATTTAGTTACTGGTCATCTAGTGCTTAGAGAATGTACTGATCTACCTTTTCTTGGTGAACATTTCTCCATATCCTAGTTAGCCTTTGGGCAATCCCTGCCAAACTCAGTTCCACTATCTAACCCTGGTTTGTCATCCCTGTCAGCAGCAATGACGGGCACTGAACAGGGGCATGTCTATTACTGGGATGGCTCAGAGTGATGTGGGTTCTTATAGTTCCTGGTGCAGGAGGGGCCTGGATGACCATCAAAGCCATAGGTCATGATTCTAAATCTCCAACCCTAGGTTCAGTTATTTCATGTCTGTATTTAGGACCTAAAAGAAGTAAAGATGCTCCCAGATCGTGTGTGGAGCCAGAACTTCTAGCTTGATCTTTCCAAGGCAAAGTCAAAGGTCAGTCTTTCCAGAAGCCCTTGTCTGGTGCTCAGGATGGCTAAGTGTACCTTGACAGGTTGCGAATCTCCAAGCAGAAAAAGTGGGCCCATGTTAATATCCGGGTCTTTGGGGTAGATGTTTGTTTTTACATGATGTTGAGAGTGCCGGTTATTCCACCAGTTTTGTGACAGGCCCTGAGGAGAAGAGAGGGCTTGTTAGCTGGAAGAAAGCTCTCCTGAAATACCCTTTACTGTCAGAGTTTTCTGCATTCATCCTCAAAGTTAAAATACAATATTTGAGTTTCTTGAGCTTGTCCCCACTGCTGGGACATAGAATGACTCATTGAACAGAGGCTCTCATAGCTTATGAAGAAATAATTACCTGATCCAGAAACATAACTTCAGGCTAAAACAACTCCTGACAATGAAAATCATTAAAGCCTGTTGAAATCAAATGCTTTTCATCCTTCTCATATTTGATCCTCATTTACAAAAAACAAACAAACAAAAGAAATAAACAAATAAAAACAATCCCAATCTCTCCACCCTTTCTCTACCCCCCCAAACCCGAAGGTAGTTGGGTAGAGATTATTATTCCTATTTTACATATAAAGGAGTCTCTGCTCCAAAACTTTAATTAGTTCTGGAGAAAAAAGTGGCCCCAGGTTTCCCACTTCAATGAATATTTCAAAGAATCATGGATTTGAAGTGATCTCCTTGGGGGGCTGGGCTCAGGTCATTACGAGTCCCAGCTTCAATGCCTTCATATGAAAATTAATGAGAATAAAAATATTTCAGCTGCTGCCAAGTTTGAATCACCTCTAATTAGCTTGTTTGTGATTTTCTCTCTCTCAGTAAAAGTCTGAACGTTTTAATAAAGCAAAGGATGTGGAGGCAAAACAACCTGGTTATATGAAGTAGTTGAGTAAACACTGCTGTGTGGTTTGGGCAAATCACCCCCCTCTGGGAGGCTCCCCTCCATCTCCGGTAAGCACAGTGAAAGCTGATTTGCTTCTGTGGGTTGTCTGGGGAGATAGGAGATGCTGTATGTACAGTGTTGGCACACTGAGATCCTCAATTGCTCCTCTTTTTTGTTAATCATTTATGGGAGAATAAACAGTATAGTGGTTTTTCATGACACGTTTAACATCTCTTAGTAACCAATCTATACATGTTCTACTCTGTGTTGTCTAATATAACAGTCACACATGGCCATTGAGCACTTGAAATGTGGCCAGTTGAATTAAGATGAGCTATAAGTATAAAATATATACTGAATTTTTGATTCTTAGTATGAAAAAAGCAATGTGAAGTATCTCAATAATTTTTACATTTATTGCAGTCTGAAATGATAATGTTTTATCATTTCAATTAAGTTTATAAGCTCATCTAGAAAAGATGGTACATATCTCCTTGCTGAATATCACTTCCATCACATTTGAAGTGCTCCCCCTGGGAAGTTATGCAGTGACACCAGTGCCTAGTTCACCCTTACAAGCAATTTTGTAGCTCTTTTTCTGGAATTGCCATCAGAGCTGTTGTCATATTACCCTTGATGTCCTGAATGTCATCAAAATGTCTTCCTTTTAATATTTCTTTTATTTCTGGTTAAAGAAAAATGTCACTGGGGCCCAGATCAGGTATGTGGGGAGGGTGTTCCAAAATAGTTATTTCCTTACTAGCTAAATGCTCCTTCACAGACAGTGCTATATAAATTGGTGCATTGTCACAATGCAAAAGCCATGAGTTGTTGGCTGAGATTTTCAGTTAAAATTTTCCTAACCCTTTCTCCACTGATGTTTACTTGGTCTGCAATGCTCTTCACAGTCAGCCAATGATTCTGATGCACCATTTAATGAATTTTTGCCATGTTTTAGTCAGTTTTGCTTATTACTGGCTTCCCTGACCTCTCTTCATTAGTGACACTTTCTTATTAGAAAAAGACATTTAATCCATTTGTACAGTGCCATTTTCCTCATAGTATTATTCCTATAAACTTGCATGAACATGTTCCTGATTTTACTTTCACTCTTACTAAGTGTTACAAGAAATTTATAAATGTTTGTTCATTGCTCTAATTCAAGCTCCAACATTCTTGCAATAACACACAAAGACACAAAATAACAATAATGAATGCTACTCAGCAAGACACCAGCACCTGTCAACATGAACACTGCTGTGAGAAAACTGATATACCAAGGTTATGAAATCTTACCAAATTGTTTAAACAGTGCTGTCAGTGTAAGCACATGGTGTGGCCAATTCACAAACCTAATTGGCAGACCTCCTATGTGTGGTAAAAAAAAAAAAATTATCCTTTAAATGTGATTATTAGAAAATTTAAAATGCATATGTCAATGTGACTTGCTTTGTATTTTTCATGGAGTATACTGGTCTAGACCCTCTATATCTATGGTAGAAGGGATGCGTAAGTTTCAAAACCTGTAAGCATTAGCACTGCCTTTCCACAGTCTGCTGTG